TCATAAACCATGGTGTTTCTGTGTTGTCCAGATCTGAAATTTGCTCTGTATGGAGGCTTTAACTGTTCTCATATAACCCCAAAGGAGATATAGGCATTTTATCCTGAATCTTCAGTCTCACAAATTAAAAAGACAGAAAACTGGTAAGTCAGAAAGAAGTAAGAAGGATTAATGGAAATGTGAATTAGAGGGAGGAAATGTGGGACAAAATACTGTGGTTATTGCATTTAATGTTATAAAGCAAAATTTTATGAATGGTTGCATGAAAACCAAATTGCTTTGTAAACTCTCAAAGCACAAGAAAATTTTTTAAAAACCTAAGCATGTCTGTATCATATTTAAAATGCTTGCAGGGTCCACAGGCTCAATACAGGTATAAAGTTGAGTGTTGGACTCCCAGCTAAAAGGTGAATCAGAACCATCTTGGAGGCTGAGTGTGGTCGTGTGAGTTCTCCTCTCCCCCTCCCTTTTCATAAGGCTCAGAAACAGTTCCGGTCTTATACATGTCTCCATGGAGTTTTTCTACAAGAGTTCCAACTCAGTCCTGATTGTTTGTCAACATGACATTGAAATTGCAAGGGCTAGAAGGGGGATCAGAAGGCACCCAGAGCAGAGAAGAGCCTTGGGGAGAGACAATGATTTATTTACCTAGGCACCACTGGAAGGAAGATGCGAATTCGAGTTTAACCACCTGTCCTAGGACAGGACCAGGCAAGTAAGCTGCCAGGACATTCTGGGCTAAAAGGGGGCAGGCGCGGAAATGAGGTGAGACCAGGAGTCCTCAGGTCCACCTGGGAATCTGCAGAGACTTCAACACTGTAACAAAACCAGATCTGGAGCCAGGGGCCTTGAGCCCCAGAGGCTCTCGCAGCCTTCACCTCTGCCTTTCCTGGAAGGGGTCTGTCCAGATCTAGTGGTCATTACCTGTCAGCAAAAGCCAAGGAATTCTCCTGAGAATGGGCTGGACAAAAGCAGACCCAGTGTGTGTGTGTGTGTGTGTGTGTGTGTGTGTGTGTGTGTGTGTGGTCTCTGATTGTGGAAGAACTACTTTTTCTAGGACTGCTAGGTTAGGACTATGAAAGACACCGAGTCTTGCCCTCCCCACCCCTACCTGGGCCTGTTTCCTAGAGAAGGGTGGGAATGTCCTGGCTCTGCTGCACCTTGCTTTGAGACCTTGAATGGTGACTACTTTTGAATTTTCATCTCTGCTTCTGAAGAATAAGAACTAGGATTAGATGTTTCCAGGGATCCTCGGGCAGGCCTGTCTAGCCTAAGAGAGCCTTCAAAGGACTCCCCAGTGCTCAACACAAGACTTAGCTCCGTGGGGCTGCATGAGGCTCTGCTGTATTATGGAGCTTATGTGTCGTCTGCACTCAGGAGACCCCAGCAAGATCCTTAAATAGGCAGTTGCACAAAAAGGAGATAAATGGTGAACAAAGCCTTGGAGGGCAGATCCACTTCCCTAGATCAAAGGTATATGATAAGGCCCTGCAGGAATCCAAAGGGAAGAAGAGCACCGCAGGCCGGCTTGGAAGGCCTGCCTTGGTACCAAGGCCACCACCCCAGGTACAGTAGGACTCTACCCCAGGGCCTGGTGTTGATGGTCATTGACTCCTCCATCCTGTCTACTCTTCTCTGTCTTTAAGGTCCCTTAAGATCTCAAGGCCCCAGAGCTTCATAACTTTAGTTGCCTTTCCTCTGTGCTCTGCACATAATTTACTTTTCTTCTGACTTGTGTGTCTAAGACTTGCTGACCCAGACTACTGAATGGCTTCTCTCTGGCAGCCTTCTGGGGTCAATGCCTACAGTGGATATATTGCCAGTCACCACAGCTCTTATCCACATTCCTGACAGAAAGCCACTCATTTGTGAAAGCGAGTACATTTGTGTGTGACAGGTGGGTGACATCATAGGTCAAAGGTTGGACTCTGGATTGATTGGTTATTCAGTCAATGGTGGCCAGTGAACACCTGGCCTAAAGCTACTGTCTAACAGCTGACCTTTGAGTGGAACTGTGGGTGGGGAAGGCAGGCCATGTCCTTGACCTTTAGTCCACAGTGGAGAGCTATTTTAGATCTGCTATGGAACAAATTGGTCACGGAAAAGAAAGCCATCGATGAAATGAATGGACACCATAGCCTCAACAATGACCTACGACATATCAAAGGTCACAGTGATGGTACATTATGGTACAGGCCTGGGCAATGTTTTGTCTAGCTGTACATAAGGGCTCCATGAAACAGAGCCAACTCCACAACAGTTAACAATAACATGAAGCGTAGGTATATGTATGATGCTGTATTATTATTATTGCTGTGTACTGTTGAGTTGGAACTGACCCATAGCTGACTCTCCAGCAGGTTTTCAGAGGCCGTTAACTGTATGGGAGGACATTTCTCATTCTTCTGTGGAGAAGCTGGTAGATTGAAACCATATGCCTTCAGGATTGCAGTGCAGCTCTTGCCACTATGATGTACATACATAAAATGTGTATTTGCATTTACTGGGGCATACATATACATGTCTATGCACTCATGAATGTTCATATGCATGTAGGTGCTTACAACACTGAGGGGAAATGCACCCTCATATATACTTGGAAGCAGGAGTGACATCCACTTCCTAAACCACATGCCTCCAGAAACTCTATGAACTTTGATAAGTGTTGGTAGTTGTAGAGGGGCTTCACGCCTTTTGTTCATAGGGTCCTTGAGTTGTGCTCAACTCGAAGGCAATAAACAACAACATATATTGAACAACTGATACTGTTTTAAGAGACTTAGAAAAGGGTTAGTGATTTAAAAAAAAAAAAAAATTTAAGGGATCTCTGATAACCTAGTGGCAAGAAGCTGAACTGCAATCCCAGAGATACGCGGTTCAAATCCACCAGATGTTCTGCTGGAGGAGGGGCAATTTCCTCCTCTACCAGTCAGATCCAATTTGACAGACAGTACACACACACACACACACACACACTTTAAAATTCATTGTCGCACATTTTCTTCCTTTCTCTTCTCCCAACCCACACCGCAATGTACCCCTTGTTCCAGATTGTTCTCCTACAAATAATGACATCATACATTCCTTTCGAACAGTTCTTCCCCTCCTCTATTCTAATGCAGTGTTTATTATCTATCCACTCTTCCCATTCTCTCCCAGTGCTCCCATGTCTGTCCTATTTTTTAACAGTGGAGTTGTGCAGTATTTTTGTACTTTTGTACAACTGAAATAATTTACTCAGCTTAATGTCTTCCAGGTTCTTCTGTGTTGTTTAATGTTTTAAGAGTTCCTTAAAAAAAAAAAGAGTTCCTTGTTTTTCAATGCTGTGTAATATTCCGTTGTGTGAATGTACCAGTTTTTTTACCTATTCACTTTTGATGGGCACTTGGGTTGCTTCCATCTCTTGAGAATAACACAATGATAAACACAGGTGTGCATATCTCTATTTGAGTTGTGACTCTGGTTTCTTTAGGATATATTCCCAGTAGTGGAATTGCTGGGTCAAATAGTATTTCTATTTTCAACTTTTGGGGAAAGTGCAAGACTGCCTTCCATAGTGGTGGTACCATGTTACATTCCCACTAGAAGTGAATAAGAGTTCTAATCTCTCCACAGCCTCACCAGCATTTGTTGTTTGCTGCCCTGTTGAACTTTGCAGTTGTTGTGAATGATCTTGATCCTGAATTTAAGAAAATTTCATGGGGGAAAAAGTCAAGAGATTCTATTACATTTTTATCTATGTTATGAAAGCCAGCAAATCTAAATGTCTGTAAGGTAATCTCTACATAAAGTGTGGTGTATTCACTTAGAGTAGCTGCATTTGAAACATTTATTGTCGAGGCTTATTTGGACAACCAGGAAATTATTTCTGTGGGAAAAAATGGAGGCTGGGAGGGGAATGAGGACCTCTTTGCTGTGCTGAAAACTGTGTAAAATGAAAAATCAGCCTAGAAAAATACCCTTGCTGTTATGTGCTGTCAAGTCAGGTTTTCAGATGCTGTAAACCGCATGGGAGATTACCCACCTTTCCCCCACAGAGTGGCTGATGGCTTCAAGTCACCTGCCTTTGGGACAGCAGCACAAACTCCCTACCCACTAGGCCTCCCAAGCTCCCAAGAAAAAGAGCCTTGGCAAACAAAAGTGAATGTTGTGCTGGAGTGAGAGGAGAGGGTTTGAGTGATTCTTTTTTTTTCAGTAGCTTGTAGTTCTTTTTACTATTATAAGAGTATTTGAAAAGAAAAAATGCTGATTGGAAGGTGGTTTCATTGGTGTCATCTATGTATTTCCAGGGCTAATTGCCTTGTTTTGTGTGTGTCATCAACAACCTTTAACAGCTGTGGAAGAAATCCCTTTTATGGGCTTCCCCGTTCCCAGGGCTGGGCCCAAATCATGTGCCTGCCCACAGACCTGTGTTTTAACCATAAACCATGTTGGCAAGTACACCTGTGTAGGTCAAACCCTGGCTCAGGAACCTCACCCAGTGTTTCCATCCCAGAGACTTGGAGTCTCATTTGGGGTGCTTCAGTGCTACACTCACTAAACACTAGCGGTTCCTACAATTAGCTAAGTGCTACCACAAAGCATACACAGATGTCCCCAAGAATCATGGAGTGGGAAGAGAGAACAGGGCTCAGAATCCTCAGGCTGAGAGGACACCCTGAGGCTAAGGATCCCTGACTGTGCCTCCCCAGCTGACGACCTCTGAAGTTACACCTTGTAAAGATAGAATGAGATGAGAGTGTATATGACTTTGAAAGGTGATAAATGTCTGCAAACATCTGTTTCCATGTTCATTGTTCACCAGTCCTCTAGAACCTCCCACCCGTGCCTTTCAGAACTGCCTGCTGGGAGCTGGACTTCAGATAAGGAAGCTGAGGCGCCATGGGTCACCCTTAGTCTCAGCCTCCATGCCCCAGACCTTCCTAGGTCCCAGCAGAGTTCCTGGTGTGTCCACTTCAGTGGTCACTTTCAGTGACTACTCTCTGTCATTTCTGTCTCAGGACACAGTGTGGAGCCTGGCCTGGCTGGTCTGCTGGGGCGCCAGGCACCACGCCCCAAACAGCCCTTCGTGGTCACTTTCTTCAGGGCGAGCCTGAGTCCCATCCGAGCTTCTCGAGCAGTGAGGCCATTGAGGAGGAGGCCACAAAAGAAAACCAACGAGCTGCCGCAGCCAAACAGGCTTCCAGGGATCTTTGGTGAGCTCCAGGGCTGGACTGCTTCTGAGCCCTGACAAGAGAGGCCAGGCAGGAGCCAGGTGGGGGACAGAAACCTCTGGGCCCTCAGAAACTGCTCAAGTGACCAGCCGTCCTCCAGCCACTCTTCACAACACCAGCCTTTGCCCTGTACACCCTTGTGACCCACTGCCCCCCTCTCATGCTTGAGCCTCTGCTAGCCTCCCCGTTCACTGCGAAGTCTCCCTCTCTCCTCTCACCTGGCATCTCCAGGGCCCCCTTCCCAGACTTCAAGCATGGTCTGTTCTCCCCTCTTGTAAGCAACCACAGCCCTCTGTTGCCTTCGGTTCTTCCCTGGCGACCTATTAGGATTCACAGTTGTTCATGTGAGGGTCTCCCCATTACCAATGGGCCAGGGACAGGCCTGAGCTGCTACAGATCCGCCCTTTGCTGGTCCCAACTGAGTACCTTTGAACATGTGGAATGGCGAGACTGCAGCGAGGAGAATGGGCTGGATAGGAGATGTCTCTGGAGGAAAAAAAGAATGGGTTTATCCTCCATCCTTGGGGAGGCCAAGGGTCCTGTTAGATGAAGCGGGAGGGTGGTCTCCGCAATATCCAGGAGCCACTGAAGACTGTTGAGCTGGGCTTTGGCATAAACTAAGCTCCATCCAAGCTTGGGTTTTATGAGACTGAATTACTTAGTTCCCATTCATTCAACCTCTTCCTGGGAATTCTTTGTGGTAGCTTCACAGAGTCAGACCCAGAAAAGAACTTGCACTGTCTTGTCCTCACAGATGACATCCATGGCTCCAGTGGGCGACAGGTGTGCCGTCGGCATGAACTCTATGTCAGCTTCCGGGACCTTGGCTGGCTGGTAACACTGACCTCCTCCTCTTCTTAACGACAAACCCCATTTTCATCCTAAATGTGTCTCCAGGGAGGAAGGAGAATTATGAGTCATTTTGTCTTTTTAACGTGTTTTTTTTTTCATTTTTTATTATTAATTTCAATGAAAATTTACAGACTTTGGATTTCCATTCATCCATTGTTGCATTTTTTAACATGGTTTTATCTTTGCTATTTTCTACGTTTCAAGATGGAATTGCACTATTTTTACAGCAAGAAAGGTTTTTGTTTTAAATCATGAAAACAAGAGATTATCTGAATCCTCAGTCAATTGGAATGTCAGAACTGGCACAAGGAAGCGGAGGTGGGCGGGCAGTACCTGTGCATGTGCCAGGATCAAGGCGGCGAGGAGGGCTGACCCACTGTAGTGGCTGGGGGTGGGCACTCAAGTCTGGGTGGTGTTGTCTGATGCTGTTGGTGGCCTGGTGCCTGTGGGGGACATCCCTAAGCCCTGTGCTGGACTAGGGCTCAGAAGGGGCACCTGGTGGACTCAGCTTCTCCCTCCCCTCAGGACTGGGTCATCGCCCCCCAGGGCTACTCGGCCTTTTACTGTGAGGGGGAGTGTTCCTTTCCGCTGGACTCCTGCATGAACGCCACCAACCACGCCATCCTGCAGTCCCTGGTCAGTACTGATCACGCCCCACCTCCTGGTATGGGGTGGACACTGAGGGAGGCAGCATTCATCAGGAGGTGAATGAGAACAGCCGCATGACATCCATACATGTAGTTAAATTCACGCACACACAGAGAATACATGCACCGCAAACGTAGATTAAAGGCCTGCGCACTGCATATGCACACACGAGACACGCAGGGTTTATATGGGCAGACCTCCATGTAGTCATACGCACTGACAGATGCAAGTCACGAACACGCATGCAGGGACCCGCGACCTTCCCACATGCCTGCCCACATCTATGGTGGGTGCTGCCCTCCTGTGACGTGTGTGCAGACAGCGCTGTGCAGGACCCTCCACACCTCCTCTGTCCCGCTGCTTTCCCCTGGTCTCGGTGCACTTCCAGGTTCTCAGCTGGCTCTCAGCTCCACAGATCATATTCACTGGCGTCTCCCTGGCTCCTCTCCAGCCACTCGTGTTTTTTACAGACTATGTGTCTTTCAGTACCCAGTCTTTGAGGGAACTGTAAATGCCTAAAATGCCTTCTGATGTGAACATGGCTGCTGCTTTGTATTGTTAAGTGCTGTTTGTTGATGCTGGTGTTCAGATGTTTTTCTAGAACTGCTTACCTGGAATCCTAGTTCCTAATTGTTTTCTAGGTAAGAGATTGTGTGAAGGTAGTGTCTGAGATGGACGGCACAGCAGCTTTGAGGTCATGATAATGCTTAATTTCCCAATGGCCTGATGGGGTTTGTGGGACACCCAAGAGGTGACTTCCTTTGGAAAAGCTCAAGGGTGAAATTAAGATGCTTGTAGAGCAACCCTGTCTGGTCCCCACAGCCTGTGTGAGTAGGAGCTGAGGTGATGACCTCACCTGCACTTCCCAGGGTCTGTCCCCTCCTCACTGACACTAGTCTGGAACCTCAGTCCTTCTCAGAGGTCAGTCACAGACATGAGCGCTCACTGCGTGCTGGGCAGCAGACTCGTGAACACATGGACTAGGGGGACTGGGTGATGCCTTCTGTGAGGAAAAGGAGGGTGGGCGCTCAGCAGAGGGAGAAAAGGGAGGGCCCTCTGCAGGAGGAACAGCATGTCAAGAGCTAGAGGGAGAATGTTCCAGGCAGAAGGAGCAAGTGTAAAGCCCAAGACCAGAACATGCTTGGTTTACCCAGGAAGGGGAGGCCAGGGGGTTGAGGAAGGGCTGGCAATTGGCTGCTCCACAATGTTTAAGATCCTATTAGAGGTGATGTCGGGTGGGGGACTGTCTCAACAGTTGGGATATAATGGGTGGGAGGTGGTTGGTATCCAGTTTGGGGTTGGAGAGGTACAAGCTGAAGGCATAAACCTGAGACATTAGCTTGTCAATGGTCTTCGAGTCCTGGGAACCGATCACCTCCTCCAGGAGAATGTGTGGACGGGCAGGAGAGGAGATGAGATGGGAGAGGCCAGTGATGCGGGACGGAGCAGAGCCTTTGGGGTCCTGAGGGACCCTCCAGGTTCATCTCCACACAACAGATAGCAGACTCTTCTAGAAGTGCAAATCTCACCTGTCATCCTTGGCCTAGCAGGGTTCAGTCACTTCTGTTAACCCCAGGAGGAAGTCTGAGCCTGGGGCCATCATTAACCATCCTGCAGACTTCTCCCCCTGCTTGTCCCCAAACGCTGTCGGTACACTCAAGTATCCAGGATGGACCTCTACTGTCTTCTCACCTTCAAGGCCCCCTCCCCTCGCCCTGGACCCAGCACTCCCCAGGCAGGCATTGGTAGTCAGTTCCCTGAGTCCCTAGGGCCCAGGTGCCTTCCTGGAGTTCCCTTCTGTGCCCACCACTCGACTGAGGCTGCTGGCTGAACGTTTCTGTGTTCCTCATGCCAGCAGGGCTGGTACAAGGTCAGAGCCAGCAGTGTTTTTGTTGGAAACGAGAAAAGTGTCCTCAGACCCACTTGGCAAAGGAGAAGCCTGGGAGGTGAGTGGGGAGCGGTGAGTCCTCAGGTGCTCATGCTTCTGTGCCTCCCTCTGGCCAGGTTCACCTGATGAAGCCTGATGCCGTACCCAAAGCGTGCTGTGCGCCCACCAAGCTGAGTGCCACCTCTGTGCTCTACTACGACAGCAGCAACAATGTCATCCTGCGCAAACACCGCAACATGGTGGTCAAGGCCTGCGGCTGCCACTGAAGCCACACCTGCTTGGGCCTGCTCAGCCCTCCCACCCCCTGGTCAGGCTTTCTCCAGCCAGGAAACCCTTAAGCATGGCCATAGTGCAGCAGGGATGGGAAAGAGCTCTTTGAGGTGAGCACATCCCCCGCCAACTTCCTGCCAAGGCATAGGCCCTCCCCAGGACCCTCTGACCCCTTCCCCTGGAGTTGGTGGCAGGCTATCCTGCCCCAACCCTGGCGGCCCTGGTGCAGCGCACACAGCAGCCACGGAAAGACGTGTTTATGGGCCTGTCTGGGGACTGCACCCAAGTCCTATCTATACTGGGACCTGTCCATGGCCAGCGCTGGCCCAGGTGGCTGCCCTGGGGCATTTTGAGGAGCACCTGGCACCCGAGATTGGCTGGCTCAGGCTTTTACACTTCACCACAGGGTTCAGATAGTGGCAGTGAGGTGCAGAACTGGGAATTTCTGGGGTGTAATTAGATAACATGACGCCTCTCAGCACAGAGTATTCTTGGAGTCACAGCTTGGCCTCTGGACTCGGTGATGCGTTTAGTCATAAACAGCAGCCTGTGGTGGGCCTCCAGACGGACGATGACGGCATGTTAGCTGGGATTTGCCTTCCCGTTTTTCCTGCATGGGGCCTGTTCCGGCTTCTGCCTGGTGAAGAGATGCAACCCTCCAAAAACCCAAGAACCGTGGGGCTTCCAGCTCCCTCAACGTCTCCACCCATTTTGAACACAGCATTTGGACGAAGATAACTCTTACGAGAAGGGGAGTAACTACCATAGGCAGAACCATGGGCTCAATTCCCACATCCTCAGCCATGGGCAGCATCATTAATTAGCCTGAGTTCTCTTCACCGAACTTGGGCAGAGCCTCAAAACTCCTTATCTCCAGTCACTGCCAACCACGCAAAGGCGACATGAACTCTGCCTCAGGGCAGCAGGCCATCCCATTTCTGCACTGAAGGGCCAATGCCAGGGAGGATGCAAGTGGGCAACCCAGTGCCCACCAGATTCTAGGCCTCAGGAGCAGGCTGGTCACCAGTCTCTCACCTTGTATGCCCAGGAGCCCTGTCCTGGTTCTCAGGGCCTGTAAGCCAAAGAAAAGGCCCCTGTCCCAGGGGAATGACAGGCGGTAATTAAGCTGAGCAGGGTGGGGAAGCTTTTCTCGGCCTCCACTCTTCCCGGAAACCACTGTTCTCTTTGGAGCAGCTGCTGGGAGTTGGAGTGTTTATTTGATTTCTGACTTGCTAAGCCTGTAATTAACCTGCTAGTGCAGACAGAGTCCAGCTGCACGAACCCTTGAAATGCCATCATTAAAAGCAGCTCTTGGGCCCACCCTGTCCACAGGGCTTTCCACAGGCCCAGCCCTGTCCGGGTGGAAGTGGCCCAGGGGGCTTCAGGGGAGCAGGTCTGGCAGGGCTGGGGCCTCAGGGCCCTTCTTCTGGACAGCAGCTCCACCACCTAGACAGAGCCCCTCCCAGTTCCCGAGGGAGGCTCAGAATGTGTGATGAGCTGCCCGTCAGCCAAGGGCTTTGAGCTCAGGCTGGCAGGTGTGGGACATGACCCTGGACTAAATGTCAGGCCAGGGTCCTGGTTCCAGCTCACCCTGGACTTGCTTGGTGTCTGGACGAGACCCCTTCTTTATTTACACTTCACTTTTCCATCTGTGACATATGGACGTAGGACTTAAAGGGCCTGTCCTCACAGAACTAAAGGATTCCTGGCTGGATTCAGATTCAGAGTTACGTGACATGATGCCTCCCTGCCATCCCAGAACCTTAACAGCTCTCTCTCTCCTCCAAGCATCAAGGGCAGTGGAGGTTTGAAAACAAGCTGGCTTTGAAAACCAAATGTCTGTGTCTGGTTTCAGAGTTCACACAGCCTGGCACAGTGGGGTTGTGCTCTGAAGGCGAGGGCTTGGTTTGCCCATCAGTGTGCAGAGCAGGAAGCATCCTGACACCTCTTCTTCATGCAGCAAATTTCAGAGTGAAACAGCCTTAGATTCCCTGATGGACTTCTAGCACCATGGCCACCCAGGCAGCCACCACATAAAATGAAACCGAAAAGGCCTGAGAGGAGGGACTGTTAACTGTGGGTGCAGAGCCCATGAGGTGGGGCCAATTGGGCTTGGATTCATTTACTAAGACCACTTTATCTGCTTCTGCCTCTGGCCCACATCACATTCACAGAAACACATCATCTTGGGCTCAGTGACAGCAGTAAGTGAATGATGGCAGGAAAGGAGGCTACGAAGGACCACTCAGTAGGCAGCAAATGGCTTTACAGAAATTCCCTATGATTTCACAGGAAAAGGATGAACAGAGAACAGGTTTCGGAGCTGAGCTGACGTGGCACAGCATCCTCTTATCTTCTAAATGACACTGCTGCCTTCTGTCAAAGGACACACATGTCCTGGACACACATGTACCGGTGCATGAGCTAAGCAGTGTTCATCAGTGGTCTAACTGAAATAAATGTGCAACTTTGCACCTCCCCTGCATGCCTGCTAAACCCACCTCTAAAATATCTAGAATAGCTGCTATAGCAGCTTCAAAGCTCTGCTTTTCTCCCAGATTCTAAGCTGGATAATCTGTGGGGAGAAGGTGTGGCCTTGTGCCACCCTGCTGGCAGTGCCACCTCGGTCAGGACACAGCCACACTTAGCTGGTGCTTGGGGAGACACGGCCTCTGGCAGGCAAGGCACCTGTGTGCCCTCACGGGAAACTGATGGGAACACATTCTATTTAAGGTTTCTCTTCTCAGTGGGAAGCCTGCAGCAAGCATCTGACCTTTCAAAACACCTTTTTTTCTTTCTGTCTTAAAAAAGCATTGTGTATGTGTCAGGGAAAATTTTGAAATCAGAAAAACACAAACACCATAATCCCACCACAGAGGTAACAGCTCCAGTATTCCTCCCAGCCTTTCCTCTGTGTACAATATTTACAGTTATGATCACACTCTACCTGACTGTTCAAATTGCTATATCCAATGTATATTTTGGAAATTTGTTATTAAATATTCTTTGGAAATATTTTTAATAACATTCCATCCTTGGCATCTCGGTGTGAGCCTGTAAGGACCTGTGAGCCTTCTCGCATGCTGTGCTGCTCCGGGCCCGCCACCACACAGGACACAGGACTCAGGTGCCCGGGTGCACGGCACTGTCCGTTCATCCAGGGTCCCGGGCTTGTAACTTTCTCTTCCTCTACATGGCACCAGGCACAAGTAGGAGGTACAACTGAGTGTCTGGGAACAGGCACCTCTCGGAGGCTCAAGTGGCCACCTGGATAAGCCCAGGAAGTGGGCTCAGACTTAACACCCAGAGAAGGCCTGCAGAATGCCGAGTGCCCACCACCCAACGGCTCCTCTCCCACTGAGCTCTCAGGACTGCCCCCTTCAGAGCAGTCAGGGAAGACTAACTGTCCTCCCATGACCCATTTCACAGGGCTGTGTGACCAGTCCTTTCTTTGGCCTTATGCCAGCCTGCCGCCCCCTTTACCCTGGAGCCCCCACACTGAGAACCTGTCATAACTCTTACACCCCCCAGCCCTGCACAGTGGCGTGGTTCTGACCTCGCTGTTGCTCATCCTGATGCAGCCACAAATGACCATCAGGGACAGTGACGACTGCATGAGAATGGGACTGTGTTGGGGACAGTGGCTCCCAGTTAAAGGTGAGGACTCAAACCAGCCAAGGAGGGAGCCTCCAAAATGCAGAGAGGCCCAAGCAACATGACACCGCCCAAAGAATCCAGCCCAGGGTCCCTCAACTTCAAGATGTCCCCTTCTGATCTCAACCCAGCCCAGCCCAGTGGTTCTGAAAAGGGACTCGACCCTGACAATGCTCAGGGAAGTGGTAGCTTCGAGGAGGTCTCAGTGACTGAGAGCCCAGCCTCAGCGAGCAACAGGTGAGGTGCAGGGTGAGAGGCCAGCCTCGCATGCCTGCAAACCGAGGCACCAGACTGGGTTCCAGGAGGAAGAGGTTGGGGGTCAGGGCGGGAGCTACCTGTGTTATTTCTTATTATCTCCCAAGCACCATGCACAGAACCTGGCACAGGACTCTGGGCACCTAGCGATAATCAAATCCTTCCTGCTTGTTCCACGAATGAATAAGTAAGACCAATTAAGGGTTCCCAGTGGAATCAGAGGGTGAGAGGGCAGGGCTGACACCTGGCTGACCTAACTCCTCTGCCCAGTAACAGGAGACACAGGCCCTCGTGACTGGCCGGCTTACACTGCCCTGCAAGTGGCTCATGCGGGTGTCCCCTCAGAGCATCTGCCCACAGCAAGAGGAGGCAGCAGCATGAAACATGCCATTGCCAGTCCAAGCAGACCGTCCAGTCTGAGCTGTGACCTCTGACAACATGATGCCCAGACGGCAGCTGGCAGTACAAAAACCAGGATTTATTTTACCCGAAGAAAAGGTCCTAGTAGGCACAGGGGAGGCCCTGGCCGCAAAGTCCCGGCAAAGCAGGTGACTATCCATGGACCATCCACGGGGGAGGGCGGGCGCCTGTGCTGGCTTCCTGCCCACCGCCAGGCCCTGCGAGAAGCCGGGGGACATCAGGCTGTTCCTGAGGAGGAGCTGCTCCAAGTCCTCACCAAGGACAAGTTCATGGTGCAAATGCTGCTTTTTCAAAGGGATACCCTCAGGGGCTCCTGCTGGTTCCCAGGCAGATGGGCCGGAGCAGAGAGATGGCAGAGCAGAGAAAGGTCTGCCAACAGGGTCACACATACTCTCCACAGTCAGCAATGATCACCTTCTGTTTGGGCTTTCCATCCTTGCTGCCCTGGGCCTGCAGGACAGAAGAGAAGTCAAAAGGAAGGAAGAGGAGGGCTGAAGAGCCACTCAGAAATCACCCACATGTTCACTCCCACCCTGGACACTTTCCTCAGAAAAGGGCTGTGCTCAGAGCAGCCCCGGGCCCAGCTCTCCCTCCCACAGTGCACCCCTCAGCTCCCTCTCCAGGATGTGCACCAAGGTCAGGGTACAGGCTCATTCGGCCACCTATACCTCAATCTGCCGCAAGACATCCAGGCCTTCAGTGACCTCTCCAAACACTACGTGCTTGCCATCCAGCCAGTCTGTCTTGTCACATGTCAGGAAGAACTGAGAGCCGTTGGTGTTTGGGCCAGAGTTGGCCATGGAGAGAAGGCCTGAGTGAGGAAAAGATCATGTCAGCTCTCTGCATTGAGTCCTGGCCTTAGAGGACACTCATGCAGACCTGTCTACAGCCCTAAAGCCAGACCAGCTCAGAAAGTGACACAGACCTGGTTATGGCAAGCTTCTACAAAACCCAGTTATTCATTCAGTCAACTCAAAGGCAGTGAGACAGGGCAAGTGGGGCTGTGTCAACCATTTATAGTGGCTCTTTCATTCACCTAACAAATACTTAGTGAAGAATCCCCTGTTGAACTCTGGGGACACTGATGAGCAAAACATAGTCTCAGTCGTGGTACAGTCTCTCAGAAGAGAACTGTGGATTTATGTCAGGAGCGCAAGGCCGGTTTCACATTCACACACTAATTAGTGCAACACCATAGTAACAAAAGAGCGAGCATGATGATACCACAGGTGCAGAAAAAACATTTGACAAAATCCAAACATGCTTTTCATAAAAAAACAAACAAACAAAAACCACTCAAGAAACTCGGAACAGAAAATAATGTTCTCAGCCTGAACAGGGACATCTATGATAAACAACATGATGCAATGAAAGCTTTGCCCTAAGATCAGAAACACAAAGACTACCACTCTCATCACCTTTGGTTAACGTATCACTGGAGGTTCAAGACAGGGAAATCAGAGAGAGAAAATTAAAATAATGCAATGAGATTGGAAAGGAAGATGTCAATTAGCTCTATCTGCAGTTGATATAATTTATATATAAAAAAGGTGTAAACTACATACTAAAGCATTATTAGAACTAGTAAGTTGAGTAAGGGTGCAGAATATAAAATCAATACATAAGTATCTATCGCTACACAACAAGGAGAGGATAACACTGATGACTAGGACATTCTAAAGATTAAGTCCCTATGTGTATCAAAAACTTTTTCTAATAGGGTGAAAAGAAAACCTACTTACTGGGGAAGGGGCAGATCAAAACAAAACATTTGGCAATGATATCTCAGCCAAAGGTCTCACAACAAAAGTTTACACAGAATCCTACAAGGCTTCCACAAGAAAAAAGACTGATAACCCAATTACAAAATGTGCCAAAGACATGGGATGACTTTTCACAGAGGAAGATATCTGATGGCCAACAGACACATGAAATGCTCAAAATCATTGGCAATAAGAGATATGCAAATGAAAACACAACACCCAAACTGTTATGTCTCATTGAGTCAACTGTGACTCATAGCAACCCTATGTATAAGAGCTCTAAACCCTATTCTATCCTGAGCCAATCTCTCTGGCTCTATCACACCTATCCCCATTATCCCAGTTACTGTGTCAATCAATCTCATCTAGGGTTTTCCTCTCCTGCACCATCACTCCATTCTTCCAAGCATGAGTTCCATCTCCAAGAAATGGTTCCTCCTGGTACAAGCCCAAAGTATGTGGGACAGTTTCAAAACTCTTGCCTCCAGAGAGCAACTTAGTGTCACCCTCTCCAGGACAGACCTGTCTGTTCTCTTGGCAGTCCATGATATGTTCAATACTCTTCTCCAACACTAAACTATAAGGTATCGATTCTTCTTATGTCATCCTTTGTCACTGGCCAGCTCTCTTAAGCACAGCAGGTAGCTGTAAAGACCATGGTCTGGATCAGGCACCCCCTAGTCTCTAGGCTGACACTGTTGCTCTTCAGTATCCTAAAGAAGTCCCTGACAGCAGATTTTCCTAAGACAAACCATCTTTATTTATTGTGATTTTAACATAAGTTTACAGAAAAGTTGGATTTTTATCCATTCATTATTGCACATTTTCCTCCCTACACTCTACCAAGGTAATTATTTAAAAAACCCAACATTGTTGTGTTAATTTCCAGCCCTCCCCCAATCTATTTTGCTAAGCACCTCTTATTATGGACTGCTGTTATACAGATAAAACTGAATCATATACTCCTTTTAAACAGTTCTTTCATTATTTATGAACTTTAAAGTGTTTATTATTAATCCTCTCTTTTCTTAGTTTCCCCTCAAGTCCCATGTCAGTACTGTTTTATAACAGTGGCATTATGCACTATCTGTCCTTTTGTGCCTGAGATATTTCACTCAGCATGTCCTCCAGAATCACCCATGTTGTGTAATATTTTATGGGTTCCTCGTTTTTCAGTACTGCATTATAAGAATATACCACAGTTTTTCTATTCATTCATTTGTTGATGAGCACTTGGGTTGCTTACATCTCTTTGCTATTATGAATAATGCAATAATAAGCATGGGTGTGCTTACATCTATATGGGCGCCAGCTTGGGGGTTGTTGTTTCTGGGGGTTTAAAAAATTTTATTATTTTGTGTGTGTGTACCGTAAATCAAATATGACTGGTATAGGAGGAGATTATTGCCCCTCATTCTCGAGCAGAGCATCTGGTGGATTCAAATTACGTACCTCTGGGATTGCAGTGTAGCTTCTTGCTACTAGGCCACCAGAGCTCCCGGTTGTTGTTGTTTTTTAAAGTAAAATGATATAGATTTATTAGAAAGTTACATACCAAAGGGATGGCCCTCTTTCCTTGAAAGGAAATATGGAGGAAAGGAGCTCTGGTTTCTTAGGGTATATTCCCAGTGTGGAAATTTGAATGGCATTTCTATTTCCAACTTTTTAAAAATTATTATTATGTTTTATGTGTGTACCGTCAAATCGGATCTGATTGGTACAGGAGGCTATTGTTCCTCCTTCTTCAGCAGAGCATCTGGTGGATTTGAACTGCTCACCTATGGAATTGCAGTGCAGTTTCCTGCCACTAGGCCACAAGTTGTTGTTGTTGTTGTTGTTATGTGCCATCGAGTCGTTTTCGACTCATAGCGACCCTATGCACAACAGCCCTAAACCCTGCTCTATCCTGCGCCAACCGCACTGCCTCTGACACACCCATCCCGATTACCCCAGTCACCGAATCAATCCATCTCATAAAGGGTCTTCCCCTCCTGTGCTGTCCCTCCACCCTCCCAAGCATGATGTCCCTCTCCAAGGACCCGTCCCTCCTTGCAACGTGTCCAAAGTATGTCAAATGAAGCCCCAGAATCCTTGCCTCCAAGGAGTAGCTTGGTTTAATCCTCTCCAAGATGAATCTGTTTGTTTTCCTGGCAGTCCATGGTACATTCAGTACCCTTCTCCAGCACCACAGCTCAAAAGCATCCACTCTCCTTCTGTCCTCCCTAGTCATTGTCCAACTCTCTGATGCATAACAAGCGATTGCAAAGACCATGGCCTGTATCAGGTGCACCTTAGTCTCCAGAGAGACACCGTTGTTCCTGAGTACTTTAGAGAGGTCCCTAACAGCAGACTTTCCCATCGCGATACGCTTTTTGATTTCCTGACTGCTGGTGCCAAGAGTGTTGACTGTGGAGCCGAGCAAACTGAAGCTGTGAACAATCTCAATCTCTTCGCCATCCATTCTGACGCTGCCAACTGGTCCAGCGGTGAGAATCTTTGTCTTCTTGACATTGAGCCTCAGTCCATACTGAAGGCTGCAGTCCTTGACCCTCTGCAGCAAGTGCATGAGGTCCTCCTCAGTTTCAGCAAGCAGGGTTGTGTCATCTGTATAACGCAGATTGTTAATAGATCTTCCACCAATTCTGATGCCACAATTCTCCTCATAGAGCCCAGCCTCTCGGATAATCTGCTCTGCATACATGTTGAAAAGGTATGGAGACAGGATGCATCCCTGGCGTTCACCCTTCCCTATTTTGAACCATGCAGTGTTACCCTGCTCTGTTCTGACTACTGCCTCTTGGTCCAAGTACAGGTTTCGCATTAGCCCAATTTTTTTTTTTAATGCAACAGCAAGAGGAGAGGTTTATTGCGGAGCTCCGGGCCGACCCTTATCTCTCACAGGAGACAGAGGAGTCGACCGCGAGCAGACAAAGTTGGGTTTTTTTATACACTTTAGGGGGATACAACTGGGTATCAGCTTCTCATTGGGTGATGAACGCATTAGCACAATTAAATGTTCTGGGATTCCAATTCTTCTCAGAGTCAGCCACAGTTTGTTATGATCCACACAGTCAAATGCCTTTGCATAATCAATGAAACACAGATAGACATTCTTCTGGTATTCTCTGCTTTCAGCCAAGATCCATCTAACATCAGCAACAATATCTCTAGTACCACGACCCCTTCTAAACCCAGCCTGGACTTCCGGCAGTTCTCTGCTGATGTGCTGTTCTAATCATTTTTAGATAATCTTCAGTAGAATCTTGCTTGCATGTGAAATCAATGACACTGTTCTGTAGTTTCCACACTCAGTTGGGTCACCTTTCTTTGGAATGGGAACAAATATAGATCTCTTCCAGTCAGTTGGTCAAGTGGTTGTTCTCCAGATTTCTTGGCACAACTTGGTGAGCACATCCAGGGCAACATCTGTTATCTGAAATACTTCAACTGGTATACAATCTATTCCCAGAGCTCGCCTATTTCCAACTTTTTAAGAAAGTGTCAAGGGGAGCTCTGGTGACCTAGTGGCAAGAAGCTGCACTGCAATCCCAGAGGTACACAGTTCGAATCCACCAGATGCTCTGACGGAGAAGGAGGAGCAATATCCTCCTGTACCAGTAAGATAATAATAAAAAGAAAGTGTCAGACTTCCTTCCAGAGTGGTTGCACCATTGTACACTCCCACCAGCAGTGAATAAGGATTCCAATCTCTCCACAATCTCGCCAGCATTTGTTGTTTGCTGCTCTGTTGAACTATGCTGTTGTTACTGGGGTGAGATCATATCTCAAAGTTGTTTTTACAATCCATCTTTTGATTTCCTGACAGCTGATGACAAGAGTGTGGAACTGAGCAAGCTGAAATAGTTAACACTCTCAATCTCTTCTTCACCAACCATGGTGCTGCCTATTGGCCCAGTGGTGAGAATCTTTTTCTTTTTGATGTTGAACTTCAATCTATATTAAAGACGACATTCCTTGATCTTTTGCAGGAAACACTTGAGGTCCTCCTTGGTTTCAGCAACCAAGTTGTTATTTGTGTAACACAGGT